ATTAATCAATAGGTTTCCTTCGACACTATTCCGATGATATCCCGGACATCAGTCTAAGCGAGATTAGAATGGCTCTCCGGCACCTTAAAAACGACAGGGCCCCAGGCGAGGATGGAATTACAGCGGAGCTTCTGAAAGCGGGTGGAACACCGGTACTGGAAGTCCTTCAGAAGCTCTTCAATTCCGTCCTCCATGGTGGCACTACTCCAGAGGCGTGGAGCAGAAGTGCGGTGGTCTTGTTCTTTAAGAAAGGCGACAACGCTCTCTTGAAGAACTACAGACCGATTTCCCTTCTGAGCCGCGTCTACGTGTGTGACGACCTGGTAAGATATGCAGGAAGTCGATGGATGCAGGTGGCTCAGGACCGTGCTTTGTGGCATTACTTGGGGTAGGCCTATGTTCAGCAGTGGACTTGTGAAGGGCTGTAATGATGATGATAATGATGAATAGGTTTCCTTCTGATTTCCAAAAGACTGTCGCCATGATTTTGCAAGTCAATTGTGCCACCTTAAATATCTTGGGTGATGGTATGCCTTTTTTGTGATAATGCCATAGAGTCTTGTTTGGTCTCAGGTTCATAATGGTGAACCCAAGTTTCGTCACCAGTAACAATTTGAGCCAACACTCTGTCTTTGTCTTCCATACAGAGGTCCATCTAGGTATCTGATACTCCAACCATTTCTGCGAGCTGTTTTTTCTTTAGGTGGGCATCTTCTAATATTAATTTTTCTTTTTGAATAATTTCCGAATTGGTCACCTCCACCGGCCTTCCTGTCGTCTTCAAGTGACTTTCTGCCTTGTTTAAAAAGGGTATGTCACTTGTAAACCATAGTTTTACTTGGACAAGAGTCTCCGTAAACGGATGACATCTCTTCCAGTATAGTCTGAACTGATTTTCCGCGCTTGGTAAGGAACTTTATAACGGCACGGAACTCGATTTTCTCCATATTTCACAATTTCTTCCCGATTGACTTGTTTGGTTGACGATAACTCAAAGTTTAATGATCTAATTACAATAAAACCCGGTTTTTATACTAATAATGAGTTGCTTAATTTTCATGTAATTCCGCGACGTCCCCATTTATAACCTACTTACCCATTCCGCGAACTTCAAAACGCATGTACGAGGGTACTACAAAATATACAACACAATTTTATAAAAGATGTTCTTTCATAAGTACAAATCATTAGAATACCTTCTAATAATTAATCAAGGTACATAAATTGTCTCGAGGATATGACTTAAAAATTAGTACATATTTTTAAATCACTCCATGCAACATTATTTAGCTTTATTTCTACGAGTTTTAAAATATTTTAATGTCTGAAGTTTTATTTTATCATTATTGATTTTAATGTCTGCTTTTTAATATTTTACTTATAATTATTGCACCATCTCTTAGTCTTTGAGGGTCTGAACTATGTACAATTATTTTGATCAACAAATTAGTGATAAGGGTCCTTACTTTTTTATGTTTATGTCATGTTAAAAATTGAAATTTGCTATTTATTAACAATTTAATGATTTCAAATATCCCATTTCGGGGAAATCATTGGTCAAATGTTTTTAATTATTTTTGTTATTTATGTCTGAAAAGTTTTTTCTTTTTTTTGTTGGGGGGGGTTCTGTATATTATTTACATACCTGCATCAATTTTCATCTTTTTTATAACTTGTTAAATAAAAATATTTTAGTTTTCAATCTCTGCGAATTTGCTAACTGCCAAAATGTGAGCGGTAAAATACCTTCTATTTACTACCTCTTCGTTTGGAGTGGTCATTTTTACCAGTAAATAATCCAAGTTTTATAATATATTATTAGCATCTTGCTAACAATTTGCCACCAAGGAATAATTTAAATTTAAATTGTTGAACAAGAGTGTATTGAATACTATTTGAATTGTTGGCAAGTAGGATTCATGTTTTCTGCTCCGTGGTTTTTCACTAAGGAGAAAGTATTCAGCAGTGTCTTAGTTAAATTAACGCATTAACTAACATAATATGTTGTTATCATATAAATATTGAAACAAAACTTTTGTCGTATTAACATAGGATATTGTCCAATTTTTACTGATGGAAACTGTTTAAAATGATTACATACACTTCCATCTCTTTTTTTAACTTCCTGAAATCTCATTGTAATAGGTAAAACTTTGTTTCATAGCATATACGTTCCGAGTTATGTTTTAGACACTTTTTATAAAATCTTTGATTAAAGGAATTAAACAAAATCAAACAAAACTGACTAACTTCTGTTAGTCAGCCATATCTGCAGTATCTTTGCTCTCTTGGGGTAATTAAAAATGTTTTGAAAATAAAATCAAAACAAAGTTGTTAAAGACAAATATTTATTGAACATTAATTATTAATATGTAAAGACTTATTTGCACAAAGTCAAAGACAACCTAATACACGTTGGTTAAAATTCGTGCTTTACTCCTAATTTTAGGTATTTTATCAGGTTACACTTAGGTATATGTCAGCTTACTTATGCATCATCCGGTAGTTCATTTTCTCCCACATCACTATCTAAGAGCAATTATAAATGCTCCCATTTAGCAGTTTACTACGTCATGCGTATAAATCTTAATTCTTTTGAAATAAAATTTCCCCTTTCGATAAGTGTAAGTATCAAATAAAGAGAATTATTTTTTATTTTAAATTTCAAAAGCATTCTTGCTGTCTTTGTTCTTCGTCTTTGGTGTTAATTGTAAATTGATCATAGACAACATTTAATCATGTTTGTTATAAATCTTTTATTATATATATTTTTTAATTACTGCCATCGTAGCATTTTTGCAAAATCTATAACTAGTTGAAAGCTTAATATGAACTTTATCTCCTTTATCATCAAACCAAAACATGTTCATCATATTTTCACTCTTAACATCAGTCTTCAAAACCTGACATTTGCATTGTAATGTAGTGAAGAGAACACTAGCATCTCATCAAGCATTAAGAAACACAAGCACTCTGCCATGCTCAAGTCTTTCATTTGCTTAAATATAAATGAGTTTATGCCTGGCTTAATTAGTATTTATTTAAGGACATTTTTAATGTCCGTTTTGAGTAAAAAGTGAAAAATTTACTTAAGAATATATATCTTTTAAGGCTTTTTTTGTTTTTATCGACGTGGCCAAACAATTTGTCTTCGAAATTGTACCATCGTCCACGATATTCATATTATACTGTACTAACTGCACATTCAGGAATATGTGGGTGTGCATAGTCAACGATTTCAGTTTTATTGAAATATTATTTCTTAGTATTATTTTTGTTGCTTTATGTGATTATATGGTACCTTCCACAATTTATTAGATTGATTATAATTTCGCAAATGGTTTGTGAGGTTGTCTTATGTATGAGTATGTTATAATACATATATAAAATGCTGATTTTGTAAAAAAAAATATATTGATTTACACAATGGTATAGTGGGCATAAGAAAGTCACTTTTGTAAATTGTTTGTATTTTTAAAAGTATAGTTATTACACACATTTAAAAAAAAGTTTTGTTACCAAAATATGATAACGTTATCAGGTACATATTTTAAAGATTAATAAAGCTGCTACAAAATGTATCTTTTTATATTAAGTTAAAGATGTACCACTATTAACAATTAATTGATACTAATTCTTGAAATTATGGAAAAGAAGCAAACCTTTGGAGAGGATTCAATTATCAATATGCTCTTAAATGGGAAGTAGTTAAGTCTTGTGGATACCACAGTTTTTCTTAGTATTAGACATTGAAGCCATATTTGTTTTATAAAAGAGAGCCGTACGTTCAATTTATATCTTAAATTGTAAAAGTCGTGTAGAGAAAAATTTAAAGAAATAAATATATTAACTTTGGCATAGCAATAATGTATGTATTGTTGTACATATATTATATTTATATATATACTAATGTATGTACATAAAAACATAAATAGCTTTCATAAGAATAAAGATGTTTATACTTTAAAAACTAAGAACAAACATAAGCTTGTAACACCAGTTACTAGACTCCACTGAGTCAGTAGTGCTTTTATGGGGCAACATATACGCTTTTAAAACAAAATTTCAGAAAATGTATAAAATTTGTCAATAAATAAGTTGAAATGTTTTATTTAAGGAAAAATGTACAAAAAGTGTTATTATAATATCAAAAAATACATCAATAATAACCCCTGGGATTGAGGTGATCGCCACCATGCCTGTACTATTAAAATTTATTTAAAAAATGTATAAACAAAATGATTGTAAAGTGAAATATGTTTTAAAAAACGTCCCGCTGGGTTTCTTGTTGGTTCTTCCCAGGACAGAGGTATCTGTAGTAAATAAAACATGACTTACAATAAGTATTATGTAATAATCTATATTTAATAATAATAATTCTATTGTATTGTATTGACTCTGTAACATAATATATTTCCTAACTTAACTAACCAGTTAAAAAGAATGTGTTTAAAGAAATCAATTGATATTGTGCAAATATTGTTAAATTTAACACATCTAATGTTATTAATTTAGGCAAGAAATTTTTAAACAATAAACATTTTAAATATATCCGGTTTTTATTTTATTAATAGGAACTAGCAATTAGCACAAGAAATATAAAGAACCATTAATTACATTGCAGCACTTGTGCAATGTAATTAATGGTTCTGAAAATATAAAATTGTAAAGTGCAAATAAAGGGCGGGCCCAAAGCACTCTTAATTTTACGCCACCTGACGGTTGGACACGGAACTTAACGTAAATAAAACTTGAGTTGCTCATCTATCTCTAGTATATAGTCAGTAATCTATGACGCTCTACGCCGTCTAATTAATATCACAGAGTACCTTTGTATAAACTGAAAATTACTATTTACCATAAAAATCGCAGATCAGTTTATACTAGTAAACATTTTAAAATATGCCCTAAAAATCCCACTATTAGCTATTACTATTAGTATCTATTTAGTACCCAGTTCTATAATCATGACGACATTGTTTTCGGTGATAATAAGACCTATGACTTACAACTTGTACAAGTTTCATTTAATTTATTTTTATAATGTTAAGAAATCCGTTTCTACGAATTTTCAAATAAATTGGTACAAAAACATTGAGAAAATTAAAAACAAGTATGAAGATGAAAATCATTCAGGTAATTAAGTTTAGTTATTTGACTTTATAGATACAATTGGTCGAATCGGTTTTAAAACCAAATTAGCACACCCCAACTTCACATAGTCTTGTCTGCACTACCCCTAGAGTGTTATTGTAAAGCCATAGGCGCGAAGGGGGAGCAGCCCGCGCTTGCTGTAGCAAATCGCAGGTACCTGAGTGAGCTGTAGCGGCTGAAGCTGGTCGCCGTAGGCAACCAATAAGCGGAAGCTGTAAAAGCAAGAAAAAATAAATAAATTTGTGTCCAATATTCCTGTGTAAAAAAGTGAGGAAGTTACAATTATACAAAAAAATTATTACTCATGTATAGTATACATTTCCGCAAATGGAGAAGGGTAGGGGGTAGCATTGCCAGGCGTCCGGATAAAGCCGGACACAGTCAGGCTTTTTGATTGCGTGTCCGGTCTGTTCGGCTTTTGTTAGGCTTTTTATATTTGACCATTTTTTTACATTTTTATGTACTTAAATACATACTATTGCAAGTATTAAAATTAATATTGTAATAAATATTGAATGATTCATTCAATTTAAGATTTTATGGTAAATAATGAAAGCATTGTTTTACTTTAAAAAAATATATTATCGTGTTATACTAAGACTGAATAATTAAGGGTGTCTGGCCTTTTTACCCAAATGTCCGGCTTTTCGGTTTAAAGACCTGGCAACCCTAGTAGGGGGGGCTTCCCTTGAACCCGCCTCCTCCCACTCCCACCACCAAACGAGAGTACCAAATGTCTATAGTTTAACTGAAATTAATAATAATAAATAATACAAGATTAGATCCTATGTATAGTTTTTGGTTTTAGAGATGGAAACTTAATAAAACATTATTGAATTCAAAAAATATTATTTTTATTAAAATAATTTTTCTTAAATTATTACATACATACATACATAAACACTCACGCCTGTCACCCAGAGGGGTAGGCAGAGACTACGGACTTCCATTTGACACAATCCTGACATACCTCTTTCGCCTCCTTTACATCCATATATCTACGCATACATGCTCGTCGGTTAAGGGTACTTTTAACGTGGCCCATTTTCAAAATATCGCCAATTTGTTCGATAAACTTTTTTCTAGGGTGTCCCTTCCCGACTCTGCCGTTCACATCTGCCATATAAATTTGCTTTGTCACTCTCCTCATTCATTCTTTCTACATGACCAAACCACCGAAGCATTCCTTTCTTAATCCTGGTCACAACATCATCTTGCATACCACATTTATCTCTTATCACGCAATTTCTCACCCTGTCATTCAGATTCAACCTTAGCATACTCCTTAAAGACCGCATTTCTACAGCATTTATTCTACTTTCGTGCTTCTTCTGCCACACCCAGCTTTCACTACCATACATTAAAGTAGGGACTAACACAGCATTATGAATTACCAAACGTGCCTTTTTTGATACATTCTGGTTCTTCACAATAGTGTGTAGTGCCCCATTCACTCTTTTCCCTGCATTTATTTATTGTTCTATATCCTTATAATATCTACCATCCCTGCTAAATACACATCCCAAATACACAAACTCATCCACTTGCTCAATTAACTCTCCTTCTATTCTTATTTCACATACCGTTTTGCTTTCCTCTTTTTCAAAAACCATCACTTTTGTCTTACTTGCGTTCACTTTCATTCCCCTTTCTTTTAATGCCCAGTTCATTAATGTAACCATCATTTGCAACTCAGCCGCCGATGACGCAAATATGACTTGATCATCGGCATACAAAAGGCATTTGACGGTTAACTCAATCATCATTATACTTTCTATTTATGTTTTGCAATTATTGAAAAATCGATATAAAAAGTTTTATATCACTAGTAATACAATAGTCATTATCACTATAAACAACAAGATGCTAACCATAGTGACGCGATCAGGGCGAGCGCGGAATGGTGAAGGGGACATGATCGGGGCATTGCATTCCAGCGAGGCGAAGTGATATTGTGACCGTGTTATAAGTATACCAAATAGGTACACTTATTGGTATACCATATTAGTGGGTCAACTTTATGAAAAGTATATGTGAGATATTCTTGTGGATGGTTGGTGTTGTGCTTGCACTCAAATTAGGATTTTTTTATTTTTCTCACTGTCATATATCTTGTGTGATGCGTAGTAGATCAAAGGATTCACATCACATTCAAAGATACCACTGCCCATTCTTTTATTTTTTTGTTTTGCTTTGATTACACTTGAAAATCTATAAATGAATATACTTTAATAATTATTGTAATGAGGAATTACTGAACCTAACTTTGGAAATTAGATAAACAATTGAATCATTGGCTTTTTTGCAGGTAAAATTAGTTCCTACTTGTTAGGAGACTTTATATTAGTACAATCTTGATATTACAAATATAAAGGGGATAAGAAAATATTCATTATACCTAGTAATTATTATAATTACAATGAGGTTTGTTATATATAGAGGTTAGGTTGGTCTAAGATTTGTTATAGCAAGGTAAGAAAACTGTTGTTTTTAGTTTTCTTCCTTATTTTACTTTTTAGGACATTGTAATGAATGGCTTACAACGTTAAACATGAATTAATTATGACATTGTGAATTCATCTATTGTCTTACGATAAATTGAATGTGTCTGAATTTATCGAGATATGAATTCTTGTTAGATGTATTGGTAGAATACTTCATGCAGAGGTTAATAATTATACTTTCTATTTATGTTTTGCAATTATTGAAAAATCGATATAAGAAGTTTTTTCAAGTTTTATTTTCAACATTTGTAATGTAAATGTATATTTTGTTTTAAAATCTTATGGCCGGTTCTAGGGGATTTCTAAGAATTAGTTAAAATGAGATAATTGTCATATTAAGGTTCATTATACTAAAGTTGTATGTATGTATGAATGAATAAATAAACCATTGTCTCCATTAAGAATCAGCCCATAGGGACATAGTGTCACATTACTATAATACATGTAGTAAACATGTAGTAATAATAATATTATATTGATATGACACTATGTTAAATGGTGCTTTTGTAATTATGTACAAAATAAAACCACAATCATAATAAATAATGTAACATTCTTGTCAGGAATTCTATAATATGTTATAACATTTAAATTTCTATAAATCATCTTTGGTATATTATAATGCGCAACTCTTTTATAATGACAGTTTAATAAAAAGTTCATTGCTGGTGAATTCCTAAATGTTCTGAGTGTCTGTCCTAATATGTGGACCATATTGTTACGAGCTTAGGGTTCGTGACAGTAAAAACTGCCGATTTAATTACCAAAATTGACACTTTAATTGCCGAACACCAATTAAAACTAATACACACTAATAATTAATCACACTTAACACTTTAGCTCACTTTATTTCCCTCCAAAGTCTTCGCTTGTGTCGCCAATTCAATACTGCCCCGGTCGCGGCCCTGAACGGCTTTATATAGGCCTTTTCCACCGAAATATCTAGAATGTTCCAGAAAATATCGATCCCAACCGACTAGATATAGAAAATTCTTGTGTGGAGTTATCTAGAAACTTAGTTCTTTTATTCGATAATGATGGCGCTAGTGCCATGTACCAGACATCAACTGTGGCGCGCAACAATATAATAAAAATTACAGTGTTTATTTTTATTTGCAGACTTGGACAATTCTAAAACTAAACTTATTTTACTATTAAATTTTGAATGCAAAGAAGATGCGGTTCCATTTCACAAATTGTCACACAGAACTTTATTACAAATTTATAAACGTACTAAAGATGATGAGCAAAAAGGATATTGTAAAAATAGATTATATTATTTATCATCTAGACTTAATGTAAGTAACTTTATCAAACTTTAACATATTTTTGTGTTGCACAAGATTGAGATGATGTTCCATTATATCATTAAACCAAATATGATTATGCCTGAGCACAGAGTGCGCTCTTGTAATTGAAAAAAAAATGTTATTTATAATTATTTTGTTTTAGTGTCCACCTAAACAACTTGCAGAACTGCTTCCTAAAAGAACATTTTTATATAACTTATCTTTTGAATGGCTTGAAAATTCTTTAAATGTTCTCTTAGGTAAGTTTGTTATTTACATGAATTTCAATAATGGAAAATGAATGTGCATTTAGGAAATGTTATTTTATTTTTATTTTAGACTTTGGGGTGAGTCCAGACCGCATATTGAGAGATTTGTGGGTTCTCAAATATCATCATGAAACTATCAATGAAAGACTATTAAGAGTTAAAAATTTAGGAATAGAAAACCTTTATCCATGGATGGTTAGATGCACTGAAAATATTTTAAATAGGTAATAGTAATAAATAAAAAGGATTTGATTTACTGTTATAAATTGATTTTCTTAGATAACAGGATAACTAAGTAACATTTTGATATATGTAAAAGCATATTTTTAATTGCTGTTGCTTAGAATGAGTCATGGTAGTAGTTTACAACTTTTGTGCACATAAGTCAAAAGACATGTAGAAAAAACTCAATCTAAGTATAAAAATTAGTATTTTTTTGGTATGTGTTTTATGTGCTTCCATGTCATTCATTAGATTACGGTAAAATTTTGTCAACATATTGCTTGCACTTCTGTGAAGATTATAGGCATAGTTGGACCGGTAGGTGGCGCTGACGCAGAATCCAGATATTACCTGTACGTCAGATCACTAGTATATGATATAAAATATATTACTTTGTAGGTGGTAGAACTCCCTTTCTGCCTGACAGTCGGGCAGGGGTAGCTCCTACTCTTCTACCTCTTTCTGCATTAAAGTAGTAGTGCTCGCACTGCTGTGTATAGCGAACCAGTATAACTACAGGTGTTCCATCTTAGTTTTCAGAGATGACAACGCATCTGTAGAGTTCTCAGTTTGAACTTGGATGCAAGTGTCCGAACTGACTGAAGTAGCCACTTACCATCAGGTGACAGTCAGTTTGCTTGTAACCTAATTTTTAAAAAAAAGAATGGGTTGGCAGCAGTGTGTCAGTGCAGATTTTCTCTGGATGTGGAAGTTTCAAGTGCATGTTACTAAAAAGCTAACATAGGTTAAAAGTTTACATTTGGAAGCGATTAAAACATCTCTTCAAAGGAAAACTTTCGAAATGTCATTTTTCACAATGTTAAGGAAACATTGTAATTAGTATTCGAACGAAGCTTCAGCTTCGACTACCTTCGGGCCAATAAAAGGTCGCACGAAACAAAAGTCAAAAATCATGACGTAAGCAAAGCACGCTCCGCGTGTTTTTTAGTGCGAAAGAAAGTGCTAATTTACCACATGATCGGCGGTCAAACGTGCATGTCTGAGAAATAAGTAACTGTGAAGTTCTATATCACGCAATGGGGAATCGCGGCGGACACTTTCTTGTCCTAAAACCCTCATAAAAGAGAGGAGGCCTGTGCCCAGCCGTGGGAATCAAGTTAGTGCATGTACAATATCAATTTATATACATTGCTTTATAATAATTATTATGTGGGTACATATAGGAAAGCATAGTAAGAACTTGTTATACTGTCTAGTACTTCATTAAGACTACATCTTATTATATGAAAAATATGCTAAACCAAATTATTTCTCAAATATGGACCGTCGTTTTCTATTACCTATCACTATCGTGACTCAATAGTGCAACCCTTCTTAAAGTTCGTAAGGCTTTTAGTTAGGAAGGTGGTATCATTTGCTATCGTATAAATAATGATATAAAGAGAACGAAATATCTCGTATGGTAAAAAACTAATTTTACATAGCTGCAACGTGGCTCTACCATGTTTAAAAAATGATTGACTTTTCTATGAGCCTTTTTAATTCTGCCACATTTATTGTAGGTAGTTCTGGATGAGGTTCATCAGACAAATCATAATTTCCATACTTAATCTTGGTCATCAACCATTGTTTAGTGTTAATAAAACATGAGGGCTCGTCGTTGCAAATATTATTGCTTTTGAATTAGGCGAAATTTGTGAAATAAGGAAGCAGTCCAAGTTCTCGACAAGAAATATCCATAATTTACTGTACTTTTACTACTGAGACCGCGTCTGGCTCTATACAGTGCTACAAGTAATTTTAGTGCTTCTTTATCATTTTAGACGCTTATTGAAAAAGTAACGGTTTTATTAGTTGCCAACCTAATATTTAACATAATTTCATTGCTCAACGCCTGATATGCAGGCGGGTTTTCCCTCAATTGTCACACCACACTTCGTGTAACAGACTCATTCGCAGTTTTTATTGTACGTCATGTACGTAACGTGGCATATATTTACAAACTATATATTATTACCTGCATAATATGATTTTTAAAATAATAATTATTTATAGGTATATTGAAATTTCACAACAAACAAAAAATATTCTTGGTGAAGATGAATCAACACAAGTATATTTAGCAAAGAGGCTGAATATTTCCCTTGAAGAGATAGAAGAAATATGTGTAAAAATACCATCTCTCAAGACTATAAGGGTTACAAAGGTATTTAATAAATATATAATTTTTAACTGCCAACAAACTCTCATTATCTATTGGTTATATCCATTGAGGATCCCCACAGGATCTCGCCTGATCGCATCGCTTGGTCACTGGCGGTAAACGTAAAGGAGCCCAGCCCACATGGTTGGCCCGAGGTGGTCGCACCAAGTGGGTTTGGCACTCCGCCACTTAGCCGCCCGCCTTAGTGGTGGTGCCGTCTCTTGATTTATTCTACGCGCTCGAAATATTTCGCTAGCGGAGCTAAAGACCACATCCGCCGCTGGGGCTGGTGAGGTTGGTGCTTTCGGGCGCACGGTTTACACTCGCTCGCGCACTCTCCCGCATCTACTACGGGGAGTGCTCGGAGGGATTATTCAAATTAATTCCAGTCGCCAAATTTTAGGAAAGCACATCGCGACAAAACTCCCGATACTATCCACACCATCTTGATGGATGCTTGGCGGTCCATCACTGTACGTTTTACTAGGAGTTTTCTTCCTCGTACGACCTGTCTGTGGAATGGTTTACCACCGGCGGTTTTTAGGAACCGTTACGACTTAGGGACATTCAAGTAAAGAGCTTACTCCTTTGTAAAAGGTCGGCAATGCACCTGCGATTCCCACGGTGTTGTAGTTGTTAATGGGCGACGGTAGTCATTTACAATTAGGTGGGCCGTATTTGCCCCCTCTTCTATAAAGAGAAACGTTCCTCCCAGTCCCATCACGCGTGACGGATTCCGGATCACTTGCGCAGGTGGAGATGTAACAGGTCTCTGCTGTCTGGCGACCAACAGATGGCGACAATTTATCCAACGCTGACCCAAATTACCAAATAATGGTGAGCAGCAGTATTACTAATAGGATGGTATCAGCTCTGCACTCACTAACTCGCCATTTGCTGTTAGTTATCTTCTTTATCTGTCTGTAATATTCTGGATATGAACCCCTTACAACTATATGCAGGATTTATTACTTACGCTTAACATGCGATTTGCTGATTGTATTAATAGAGATCTCGCATCTTTGACATTGTTCCTCGATACTTATCTGGATACAACATGCTAATGTTGCTATGAGCTTGGTTAACTACCAAATACCGGAAACCATTATTATTTGGCATTTCGTATGTTCACTCTTTTGCAAAACGACATGGGGAAAATCTTTACCTTTAATTTGATTTAACCATGCATGTTTATTTCTTTTAATTTGATTTAACCATGCATGTTTATTTCTTTTCAGCTAAAGCCCTTTTTGGACTTCCTAATCAGTGAAGGATTTTCGTTAGAAGATATTGCTCGAAAACCCAGAGTATTAACTGCATCCCAGAACACAGTAAAGCAAAGACTAGATCAGCTGAGACATTTGGGATTGAAATCGATAAATTTAAATATACTGTCCAGAGGTAGAAAAGACTTCAAAAAGTATTATACTTCCTTGCAATCTGTCTTGCAAAACAAACAAAATAGTTAAATATATTGATTATTATACTTCGCGTTTTATTAGTTCCTTTTTTATAGAAGAGGGGGCAAACGAGCATACGGTTCACCTGATGTTAAGTGACTATCGCCGCCCATGATCAACTGCAACACCAGGGGAATTGCAGGTACGTTGCCGGTCTTTAGAAAGGTGTAAGCTCTTTTGTTGAAGGTCCCTAAGTCGTATCGGTCCGGAAAAATCGCCGGTGGTAAACAATTCCACAGAGGGTAGCGGGAAAAACTCCAGCAATTCACAGAGGTCGTACGCGGAAAGGAAAAACTCTAGTGAACCGTACAATGGTGGACCGCCAAGATGATCCAAATGGTTCCCGTTCGTCAATTAAATAAGTATCAATGGAAGACCAAACCTTGTTCAGCGTTGTCATCATCATTACAGGTTCACTACTGAACATAGGTCTTCCTCAAGGAATGCTTCAAAGTACGGTCCTGAGCCACCTGCATACATCGACTTCTTGCATCTGGTAAAAAGTGTCACTTCATTAAAAGGGGTTCCGCCCCTTTTTTTACTCGGGGAAATCCTTACGCATACCCGCTTCGCTGGGGCAAAGACAGGTTATGTCGGATACGCACCAAGTAAATCCCCATGGTATTCCTCCTTTGTCGCATATTGGCAGGGCCACGAGAACGCTTTCGCACACATCTACTGCCCTCCTCAGGAGAGGAAGAACTACTCCAATCCCATTTCCTCAGCTAACACGCAGAAGAACACATGGCGCGTCTTTCTCCGCGACCTCCAAGTTCACTTTTCACATATGCGTTGGGCGAAGGCCATGGGGCCAGAAAAAACTAGCACTAGGAAGCACTAGGCTTCCCGACCCCACCGGCGAATCTATTCTATGGCTCCGCCGCCAACCAATATTCATCTGCAGAGGGTAGAGAGAGCGGCACCTCATAATACCCGAAACTCCTCTTCCCCCTCAGCCCCACCACCATTGCACTAACGGTGCGGCCCCATCAGAGTCGCGGAGGATACGGCGAATGGAGCATCGCCATTACAACACCTCTGCTGCAGCGATAGGGGGAGAGGACCACCCCTCTTGCCGCAGTCCACCAACACTCGTCCAATATGGGCTCGCCAAACCCACTCGAAGTGGCCACTTCGGGCCGGCCATGTGGGTTCCTCTTTGTTCACCGCGGGTGACCAAGCCAAGGCTTCAAAGGCCCCCGCCACGACAAGATGGGAACTATAAAATACTATAATACATACACAATAGAACGGGGGAGTGGGTGGTGCACGTGTAGCCACTAACATGTCAATTCACACTTATAAATGTCAACACATCTCTTCGTCTCTCTGACGTCACAGTCGTTGACCAATATTTGTGTCAAGCATTGCTGCGTTTAATTTTTTTTTTATAGAATAGGGTGACAAACGAGCACACAGTCCACCTGATGGTAAGTGGTTGCTACGGCCCATAGACCTATATCTATCCTCCATTAAAAATCAAAATGCAGATGCGTTGTCACCCGTGAGGACTGAGATGGAATGCCTCGTTTCCAGTAAAAAGGGTCTCCGGTTCTCTACACTCACCATACGAAATACAGCAGCATTAAGCTACTATTTCACGCTGGTATTTCAAAAATACCGAATTGTGGGACACTTAAGTGTCGGAAAAACGGCCGGATGCGGAATATTAATAAAAGTGGTATATCCCTTCACCAGTAAATCGAATCTATTTATAGTTTGTGAATATAAAAACAAAAATAAAGAAATATAATGTGTAAAAACAACAGTAGGGACTAGGAATTTATCAAAATTTTATTGATACCTGTAAACAGGTAAAAATCGTTTTTTCTTCCCACCTAATCACCCAAAATTGGGGTTGGGTAGACCCATTTTTGATAAAGTAAAAAAAAATAATTACGTGTTTGATTACGTATTATAAATTTCATTCTTTTTCCAATATTTTCTTGCCTCCGCAACCTGCCTTAACAAATTTACTCTTGCCTGGCTGTGGTGTTGGCTTACCTATACTGTATTATTTACTATTATTGGTATTTTTTTAGATAAATAGCTTATCTATTTTTAGGTTTGCTTTTATGAACCATTTTTGCAGTTTTCCTGGCGATCCGAACAGAAATATGGATAGAAGCAACGGGAAGGCTTAACAGGATGCCTACGATAAATACTTCCATTTGTCAAATATTTTATTCAGACTGACTTCTTATCCATACATCACAAAAGATATTTGAAGGACAATACAATTCAACGTAAAGATATTGTAAACATAACATTAGCACCGGTAAGTGTGATCCTGTGAGAAGGATTAATTCAACATCTGGAAATGTGACAGCTCGAACAAAAGAACCCACAGATGACAGCACTGAAGAAGAAAAAGATATTATTATCTCGAAACGTAGTTATCGACTGTAATAACTGTTTCCTGAGATTATTTTTAAGCAAATGGAATATCCAAAAAGAAATTCTATTGAAAATCTGAGTTTTAAATATAACAAACAACAATTGTTAAACAAATATATAATATTTTACCAAGGTCAATGAAAAATACTTTAAAATTGATTTATAGAAAATTTGAAAAACGTGCTTTGAAAATTTTCGACAAACGCGAAAGTAAGCAAATGTCTTCTAGATCTTTTAATGATTACGGATGTATTTAATTGTTACGGCCTAGAAGAATTTCTTTTAAATGTTACTATAAAATGAACTTTTTAATAAATTTTATTATTCTGTGAATTCTATTTTATTTATTTTAACGAAGTATCGCCTTCCTAATAGACCAATAATAATTTTAGTTACTTTTTTATTCGGTCCAACGTTTTGCAATTTGTGGATGTTAACTTATATATCTTTAAAATCCCGACTTTTTTTAAAGCAATTCCTTTACCATTCTTTTAATTGCATATTATCATATCTATATGGTTTTATATGTGGGCCACCCATGGTCGAAGTGTCTATGAAGAGTGGGCATTCCCCTTTGTGAAGCCTACTTAGCTCCGATACCTTTTTAACTTAACCGAACATCAAACCATCTCAATTTTATCAAAATCAGTTCAGCAGCTTAGTCATGAAAGTTGGACAGATTTTAACAATAAAATAGAAAATTATGGATTTTACATATACACATGGTTGTGAACTACTTTCTATATACATTTATCTGCTATACATTTTCATAGCACATTATGTTTTCTCTTACATTTTCTGAAGTAACATTTAAAATTGGCAACATATTATATATATATATATATATATATATATATATATATATATATATATATTTTTTTTTTTTTTTTTTTTTTATGTAAAATACCTAACCGGTAATTATGAACTTTGATTTCATAATTACCGGTTAGTTAATTTTGATTTTTTATCGAAAATCTAACTTTTACTAATTGAGGTACTATCGACTCTGAAAACATAAAGTGGCAAAATATGTATTATTGAATCATTTTTGAAAATTATATATTTCTTCATATTTTAATTTTGCAAAACATTCCATGCACTGGTGGTTATTGGTTACTCTGTGGGGCCGCTTCTGGAAGAAAGAGTTCATCATAAAGAGTCCCTCTTTCTCCATAAAGTCGGCCAGCTGCTGGCCCCTACGGTTCCGTTGCCCTACTCCAAATTTCCTTAACTTTAGCTCACCGCATTCTCTTGTGCCTAGTTTTGATTTGTTTTCTAGGCCTTCTAGGCCGTCAACGCACCTGCAACTCCACTGCTGTTGCAGATATTTACGGGCGAAGGTCGACACTTACCATCAGTTGAGACGCATTCTCGTTTGCACCCTTTTCTCTAAAAAAAAAATCAGTTACTTTAGACCATAACTAAAATACTTGAATATTGTATATTAATACTTGAATTATTGAATATTAGAAAAATCATTTTAACCATTGCCGTGTAGTGGCGATTGAGAATATCCACTACCCCGTATCTTCCCAAAAGTGTCGTAAGAGGTGACAGAGGGAGACAGGAAGCAGCATCTTCCTAATAACAACAATAACATAATAAAAAACTGCGGTTGCCAACCCGCTTGCCAAGCGTGGCAACTATGGCAAATATCCCCCCATGAGTAACGACGCAAACAAACGGCCCCCAGTCCCCGGTGGCCCCGCTATTCCTGGTAGGCCCATGGCTATAGCCATGGTAACCCGGGGGCAGGGGGTGCTAAGAATCTCCAATGGAGGTTCGGTTGCCACCTACGACGACTCGACCTGGCAACATATAACGCACGCACCCTGAGGACTGACGAGAAGATACTGGAGTTGGAAGAAGAGGTAGACAAGTTGCGCTGGCATATTATTGGACTATCCGAGGTCCGAAAAGAGGGGGAGGACACGGTAATCCTCGAGTCCGGCAACTTGTTCTATCACCGGGAGGGCGACCATCTGTTCCAAGGAGGTGTCGGATATATCGCCCACAAGTCTTTCGTCAACAACGTTGTAAGGATTGGGAGTGTGTCGACGAGGGTCGCGTACCTGATACTCAGAATCACCAAACGGTATTCGCTGAAGGTCGTACTGGTTTACGAACAAACCTCTGCACATCCCGATCAGGAGGTGGAGGAAATGTATGAGGATATTTCTAGAGCCATGAATTCCTCCAAAACCCACTACACGATGTTGATGGGAGACTTCAACGTAAAACTAGGCACAAGAGAAAGCGGTGAGCTAAAGTTAAGGAAATTTGGAGTAGGGCAACGGAACCGTAGGGGCAGCAGCTGGCCGACATTATGGAGAAAGAGGGACTCTTTATGATGAAAGCTTTCTTCCAGAAGCGGCCCCACAGGAAGTCGACCTGGTCACGCTTCAACAAAAAATGAGATTGACTTCATCATGAAGACCAGACGCCGACTGTTCAGTGATGTCTCAGTGATCGCGAGGGTGAAAACTGGCAGCAATCACCGAATGGTTAGAGGCACACTGAACTTAAACGTTAAGTTGGAGAGGTCTCGTCTAGTGAAGTCAACGCTCCGTCCCCCTCGTGCGTTAATCCAGGGTTCCGAAAACTTTCAGCTC